GGCAACCGAATGACGGATAGAACAAATTATAGAACAAAATTATAATTATAAAATTATAAAATTATGCCGTGCCATATGTATGCAATGCAACAAATAATCTGTGTGGTGAGAATCTTCTACCTGCATTTACCAGATCATGTTTATTCAATTTTCAAGGATGTTCGAAATGTAGTTTCACTATAAATACAACCACAGTGTGGCCCATTTGTGAATGGACCAGGTATCAGTCCTAATAGCAAATACCGCGCCAGTGCTAGGTATAGGAATAAGACATGGGAAATGTTAGGTTAGTGAGCATATGAACAATAATAATAGCGATTATTTATTTCTCTCCAAAACTATTGCTAGCCGTGATTATTCAAAAACAACTTATCTATCTCGAGAATACGAGAATGAAATACAGATCAAGCAAGTATGTGAATCTTGAAGGCTTTCCTGATCAAAACAAAAATACTTAACTATAATATGGTGTATTCATATCTCTAGCATGGGTATGAAATGCCAATTCTGCCGAAATCGGAAACAATTCAGGTATGCCCCAACCCAAATTACCAACCATAACAATGTTGTTTATTCTTGATGACCTTTAGGACATCCTTTTTAGTTCCTAGGAAATGAAGTTCAACTTCGATACATCTCAATATTCGTTTTTGGCGAATGAAAACATCATTTGAATCACCTCGAACACAAATGTGTGTGTCTTTATGACAATAAATGTTATTCTGTGAATATCAAAGATCTGGAATCCAGCATTTTTTATTTCGCCAAGAAGAAATCGATCTTCGTCGATTTCTGATTTGCGAAATTTATCACCTGAGAATTTGTTTCAGGCCATTTTAGTATTATATAAAGGTGCCATCAGGGGACTCTTAGCAGCACTACTGTTCAACGTATGGTAAGTTGATTAAATGAAGAGGATTCAGAAGAAATGTCATCAAATAATGATGATTAATTGGATTGAGGGTATTGTCTTTGGGAATATAAAACTAACACCAATAGCAATTTTGAAGATTTAGCACATGAAAAAAACATATGTTTATAATAACTTGAATTTCTCGCATACAGGGTGTTTAAAAATAGTCTCGTTCGAACTGCATTACTTGTGTTAGTACTAAGTTTCATTCTTTTAGATAGGAAATAACGTGTTTTTCTGTGACGAGAAAACAGTTTGACATTTCATTTCTATTGACAGGTTATAAAATGTCACTTTTCATACATTACTTTCTTCCCACGTGAAAGAAGTGAGTACTTTTGTCCCGGATATATACAGTGTGTGCGATTTCAACCCGCAACACCCTCCTAATTCGGAACCCAACGACCGATTTTCAGAAACAAAAATTCCATAATATGCTACTTAACGAGCTTTATTCGAAAATGCGGACAAATTTGAAATATTCAAATTTTCAAGGCCTACTTTTGTTTGTTGAAGGGGTCAAAATTTCAAAAACGACTATAACGAAATTTTGTTTGAAACTGACTTTTCTATTCGATTCAAGCATAGCTGAAAAACCTCCATACGAAATTTGAACGCAATGGCAAATTTTTATTCTTTTGATTTTTCGATTCACCCTGTATCAAAATCTAAGGAGTTGATATAACCGGTAAAGTAGTTATTCAATAGAGGAACACATCGAATACATAGGTACGAAGTTCCATCGCTGTAACTCCTACAGGAAGATCTCTCTAGTTCAACCAAAAATCAATATAACTAAAATTGAGATTCTTCATTCTTAAAACTCAAGTAAACCGTATTTCACACACTACACCAAGATGAGGAATTATAATGAGAAATGACAAAATTTCATAATGAAAAGTATTCGAGATCTCTATTTACCGGAAAAATTATATTCCTTAGTCGTTCGCTGCATTCTTTGAGCATTGTACAACAGCACTATGTGATGGCATGTTTGAATCAATGAATAGCCCAAAAAACACTTTCGTATGTCAAAATATTGTGAACAACTATTTCAATCCTTTGTAAACAAATAAGAAAAGTGAGGTTGTGTTTCAATGTTTGGCCTCCAGGGTCTGCCATTTTGCACGAGACCTAATCACAGAACTAAAACACATATTCTGTGGACCTATTGACCATTCTAAAACACGTGATTTTGACATGGTTTCTTGAGGGGCACACAAACTATCTGTTAGGTTACCTTTGATGAGCATAGCTCTGGCCATCCCTGCCACATCCACAATATAATAATAACAGTTTCACCAAACAAAATCATGAAATTATTTCTGGTTCCAGCTCGGATTCCAAGAGAAACGATCCCACTAATTCTGGTTTCATATGACAAATCTTGACAGAATATAATGTTTGCCCCTCAGCAACCTGTCAAATGACGTGATTCTGGAATGATTAATTGCATACGTAGGTGTTCGTATGTCGAGACACATTCGAGTCTGCTAGTGCATAGGCGTGCAGTATTAGAATTCTTGCATTTTAACTTTATTCCTAAAACACACCAGTGTTTCACTAAAACATCTGACCCTGAATTGATTTGATTTATTTCTTGTCGTTGTGACGCACGTGCAAAGAAATATCATACAGACTATACAGGCTGTTTCAAAACTCAGTAAGATTTCAGGTCTAAATAAGATATCCCACGAGAATGAAGTTTGCAGCATGAGCCGTAGGCGAATACTGCAATCATTCGAGTGGGAAATTAGAATTCCGTGCGAATTATACACTATAATTTTTCTACGGCTGTAACAGATAACAGCGACATTTTTGATTTCTTCGTCTTGTATATAGCCATCTGATTTCCTCTCAAGTAATGCTCACCTATTAGACAGAGCTGTCATTGCTTGAAATTTGACATTCCATGCGCGTTGAGATTATTTTGAAATAATAACACAATGGAGTCGTTGTGATATCAGATACGGAAATAAAATTTATGACATACAAAGTACCTCATTGACGTATCGAACATAGTAAAACAAGAGCCATTTTGTGTTGTAGCGTTACCACCGATACAACAAGGCCAGCAGACTCTGACGTAAACAGCTCGTGACGTCACCAAGAGAGCCCAGTGTTTTATTTTATCGCTTGTCGACTAACGCGTCAGTTCGTGTTAATTCATCGGTGATTCACGTATGTTTTTGAAACGGTCTCGAATTCTTTTGTTGTTTATTCATCAAAATAATTGGCGGAAAAATTACTGTTTTGTGAAATATTTTGTGTTGTGATCGGCGAAATAACAATGCCTTTCAAGTGTTGTGTTCCCTTTTGTCGGGGGAATTATGTAGGTGGTTCAAAAGTTCATGCTTTTAGTTTCCCGTTGGACGAGGAGCTATCGAAAATGTGGGTATATGCAATTCACCGCAAGAATTTTACTCCATCTAAGTTCAGTAGTAAACAGAGCTTAATTTATAATGATGAATTAATAATAGAAGACAATTAATCTCTCATAAAAAGTATAAGTAGAGGAAAAATAGAAAAGCTTTGATTGTGCAGTTAGTTTTGTATTCGTATATTATAGTCAACAAAATCATATCTGAATTCGAGGAAATTTTCTTGAATGTTCATAATAAACGGGCATTTTTAATTCTCATTCTCAAATTTCTTTCTGAAAACGGTCATTTGCCTCGTGGCAATGAATGCAGAATTCATTCCAATGATCAAATTGCAACTATCATATTAACATGAACTACAAACACTCTACTTAAAAAGGTAAAACTGCATTTATCATTATATTTATCATGAAGATATTTGACTAAAAAGTTCCAAATTTCACCTTCTTTTTCACCTGTCTTCTGGATGGCATTTAGAACAAATTTCCCTTCTTTTTTCATCATATTGGACAATTTATATATAATTCATCTATAAATATGATTCTCTTGAGATTAACCTGTATTTAGTGAAAAGAAGGAAGAATATCATTCAAAATAATGGCGTGTGTAATGTCATTCGAAAGCAATCTATTGACATTTTACATCTCGTATTTTGATTGACTATTGATTAAATGGTCGTCATCTGGAATGCTTGTTCACTAAATATGAAAAACTCGCCATAAAAATCATATTTCCTGTTGAATTTTCTATATAAAAATGTGCCATCGAAGTACATCATGAGTATATAAAGTGTTCAATGACAAAATAAGAGCAAGTAGCTTCAAATGCCCCCAACACAAGGGGAGAAGGAAGGCGAAATTTCGAACTTTTTCTTGAAATATCTCAATAAATAGTGGTTTGTTCACATTTTCATTATAAAATTCGGTTTATCAGACAAAAATACGTGAGTACCGAAAAAAATTTTCAAAAAAAAACATCGCATGATAAATGCAGTTTTACCCTTAAAAATTACGGTTTCAAGTGTACCGATCCACTTGGGTGAAAAATCCAACAACAGAAAATTGAAAACACTCACTGGTTATTTTTTCAGGTAATAGGAATTCTCCAAGATAAAGTAATTGTAACAAACGGCATGCCAATCAAAATAAAATACATTTTCCACAATTTTCTTTCGATCAATCTCACGATAAGTTTATGTTCTGCGGGCCCTGTATAAGTAGGTGTGAGGTTTACCTTCACCACAATTTTTGCCAATATATTTAATTCGAATGGGTTGCTGTAGGTTTTTGCTTTAAAACTTCGTTTTTCCATAATAAAATCGAATGGGGTGCGAAGAAGGGCTCAGTTGACGACTGGCATCCTTTTTTAACCGGAAGCCCTTCAAAAAACAGCAAAATCGGCTCAATGATGATCTAAAACTAAAATCGAAATACGCGGTCGCCGTATAGCGCTATAAGCGCTTGTCGTTTCGAGCCGCTAGTTAGGCCTCACTAAGTGACGTCACCCACGGAGCATGCGGGCCTTGTTGTATCGGTGGTAACGGTTGTAGCCGTAGAAAAAGTCTTATTTTGATCTGAAAAATAAGCACCTGAAATCTTGACACTAAGTTTTGAAACACCCTGCATATCTAACAACGCATCTCGGGGGGCAATATAAAGGCAATCATACAACCTTCCAATCAATAACCAAACCACTCTCCGCTCTAGGACCAATTGCAAACGGCCGCCCCGGTCTCGGGCGGCATGGGCATGCACCTCCTCCAAAAGATGGGCTGGAAGCCTGGCGAAGGGCTCGGCAAGGAGAAAACCGGCCAACTGGAGCCCCTCCTCCTCGAAGTGAAGCTGGACAAGCGCGGCCTGGTGGCCGACGAGGAGCAGCAGGGCAGAGGTGGGAAGGGCAAGCGACAGAAGGGCGTGGCGCCGACGCAGAAGACGCTGCAGGGCAAGCATCCCGTCTCGCTGTTGGGCGAGTACGCGTCGAAGCGGAAGCTCGGCGCGCCCCAGTATATTATGGAGTTCGAGTGTGGGCCGGACCACAAGAAGAACTTCCTGTTCAAGGTGGATATCATGTTTTGTTTCGTTTTATTTACTTCCATTTTCTCCCATTTCCTCTCATTGTCTTCAATTTAATGTCATTTCTCTACGACTATCGTATTCTACATTGATTACATATAGGTTAGTAATTGATGAATGATGATGATTCCATGACACCGTGAATCCCAACTCATTATTCAACGGCACTCGACCAATCACAGATTGAGAATTTTCAGGATCCACAGCAACTGAAAAGGTTAGACTAATGAAAAACCTGCAAATCTACCAAACAAATTTCTCAAGAAGGCTCTGCTTCATTTTACGGGTCACGTCACGGCTTGACTTTCGCGAATGTCAGATTGACTTATAGCGTCTTTTAAGTTTTAACTCGAGTTTTAACTTTGATATCTGGAGGATATAATGGAGGCTTGCCGTTCCATAGAAATGTACTCTATGAATATTGAAGATATTCAAGATCTTGGATCTGCATGGATGATAACTATTCCTGAGACCAAAACAACAATTGTAAGGAGGTTCACTGTAACCGGAAAATTTTATCAATTTTGTGAAAAGTACATTGATATACGAGCAGCAAATGTTGTGATTTTCAATTTTTTCATGAATTACCAAAAAGGAAAATGTACTCTTTAGAAAATTGGAATTAAAAAGTTTGCAGCAATGGGAAAACAAATAGTTTCATTTTGGAAGCTACCAAATCCCGAGATGTACACCGGGCATTGCTTTGCTTGTCAATGCAGGTGGAGGTATAACAGCATTGAAAAGACATGGTGGCTGGAAGAGCACATCGGTGGCAGAAGGATTTCTAGAAGATTCCATGTTGAATAAAAAAAAATGGCAGATTCGAATTCTTCAGTGAATCGAACAATGTTCATCATCATCAAATAACAGTTCCTTCATACAAAGAACATCAATTAGCAATATGAATAAAAATGTCAGTGTTGATTTAAATGCAACACCGACATTAAATTTCACGAATTGTGAGAATATCACTAAAAATTTAGTCACTAAGTACGAGAAACATAATTTACTGACCTAATAATCATTGTGTTGTTTCATCATTGAGTTCGTTGAATATCAAAGATTCCTGTCAATTGTATTATGATATCATTAAAATTCATACATCAAGTATATTATTTTCATAAATAATAATTCTCGTAATAATTAGATTACATTGAATTTCTGACTATCGTATAGTCGTAGAGAAAGTATAGTCTTCTACTCGCGTATAATAGCTATTATTCTCTCGGATAATTCCGAAACTCGCCTACGGCTCGTTTCGGAGTCATACTCTCGGGAATAATAGCTATCATTATACGCTCGTTGAAGAATATACTATTCTTTTCATCCTTTTCAAATTATATCCATATTAAAAAAAACCGTTTATTGTTGAAAAATATGGTGAAACCTCAGCAGTGGCACTTGATATCTCCTAGAATCACTGGATGGTATTAGTTTGATAAGACACAGAAATGACAACGGTTAGGGTTTTTGAATGTTTAAATTTATTAAGTTACACACCTTGCATTGTGACAAGAGCACCATGGTCGTCCCGCGGTTTTTCATTCCAAATTGTTTGAATTTGACAATCAATTTTATAAACGTCAGAATTGAAATAAAATTTCATGATTATTCTTTCGAGAAAAAAGCAGTTATGGAAATCACTTGCTGTGTAATGAATTGTGCCAATTCTGACAAAAATTAATATCATCTATCATCTCTCTCCAAAAGACTCGTTCATCCAACGAACAGCGAGGCTCTGGAACACATTGCCAATGGAGGTGTTCCCCGAAGCATATAACCTCCAGAAATTCAAGAAGAACCCCAATTCCTACCTTATTTTCCTTGGTTCTCACGATGTTCCCTGAACATTACAGGATATCACTTTTCGTGGGAACCAGAACATGAAAAGAAAAATTCATACATTCATTTTGGTACATTTTACACAAAACTTCTATGTTTGATCACTGAAGGATATATTTCTTATGTAATTTTCAAAACAGCCTAATTTTGTTGATAAAAAATCGATTTTGTCGCAGACATTATTGAAATTGCTACACATTGTATAAACAGGAGATTTTACCAGAGTGTTTGTTCTTGGTGTTCTAAGATAAAAACATAATTCGTTTCTGTTGCTCATACGAGGTACAAGAAAATTGAGCTGAGACAGAAGATCTGGGCAGTCGACAAGATAATGTGTAAGCTTATAAATGAATACGCACGAGTAATAATTTCTTCGGTCTTCCAGCGAGAGAAGTAAAAATCGATTCAATAATATAGAGTTATCTATACCCTGCTCAGGATATACCCCATCGATTTTGTAAACAAGGTACTTCAAAAATTATCTCTGTACAGATTCGAGGTTTTGTTTATGAGTCGAATATATAGGAGACCAAATCAGTGAACCATACTCCAAGCGAGATCTCACGTATTAGTTAAATACATTTATAAAACTATCTTCATTCATATTCTTCCGCTTCCTTCCACATCCTTCTATTACCCTCCATGTCCTTACATTATTTCGAGCTCATGGATATTTTGAAAATTATTCCAAGTCGAAAATGAGAAAATACTTTTTCCTATTGCTGAAATAGTATATTGTTTAACGTACACGGAATGATAGTGATTTCCTACGAGAATGAAGTTGCATGAGCCATAGGCGAATGCTGCAATCATTCAAGTAGGAAATTAGCATTTCGTGCAAGTTATACACTTTTTACAAATTATCAACGGCTATAATAGATAAAAGGGGCATTTTCGATTTCTTCGTTTTGTAGCCATCTGATTTCCTGTCAAGTAATACTCATCTATTAGAATGAGCTGTCATTGCTTGAAATTTGACATTCCATGGGCGATGAGTTTTTTTTTATAATAACACAATGGAGTCATTGTGATATCAGACACGGAAATAAAATTGATGACATACAAAGTACCTCATTGATGTATCGAACACAGTAAAACAAGAGCAATCTTGTGTTATAGCCGTAAAAAAACTACTTTTCCGCACGATAAATCGATGAAATAAACGGAACAAACAGAGTTACAGAAGAAATTGACCAAAGTCAAGCAACAACAAGCGCGGTTATTACTTGGATGGGTGACCGCTTGAGTCCACCGGCTTCTTGGTTCGTATTCTTCCTCCTTCTTGCTTGACTGTACTAGTTGCCAACTTCAGGATACAGGTGAAAATTGATGGAAAATGTGTGATAGTTCCGTATTTTTAAAGATCCATTCATGGACATGAAGTCATGGTTCAAAAAGACCTTATAAAGTCGTCTTAAAGACTCAGATTTCATTGGACAATACAGTGTGTCCCACTTACTATGCTCACCATGGGTATCTTTTCAACGGTGAGAGATACGAGGTCGGTTAAATGACACCAAATGTGGAGTATATCAAGGCCAACTATAATGTGAAAAAATATTTTGATAAAATCTATTCGTTTTTGTTTTATACGCGAAAAACAGATTTTGATCATTTTCATGTCTCCTCCGAAACTTCTTTATTTATGAAAATATTCAAATAGGAATTCCACGTTCTCATGGCAGTTTTTCAAAGTGATTTCGAAAAAAATATGAAATTTATACCAACTCTTCTAGAATTTGAGATATCAGCACCAACTATAGTTTTTCAAATGTAGATAGCTCACTATGACTTAGTTACAAATAACTTTTTTTCCCCTCGCAGATGATATGTCACAGTAATAGCTTTGTGTTGATAACAACGGAGTTATCGTCATTTATACAAAAACAAAAAATTATTCGGAAGCCGCCATCTTGAATTTATAAATTTCAACAAAAAAATCATGATCTCCGACCTCAAAAACCCCCACTCACCAATTTTGAATGGAATCGGACCAAATCTTGTCCGCCATCTTTGAGCAGCCATTTTTTTAAATTTAACAAAAATTCCATAATGTATTGTCACCGAAATTATGAACACCTGCCAAATTTCAAGTTTATCGGAGTTATGAATTTTTTGTTGAAATTAAAAAATATGGCTGCTTCAAGATGGCGGACAAGATTTGGTCCGATTCCATTCAAAATTGGTAAGGGGGTTTTTGAGGTCAGAGATCATGATTTTTTTGTTAAAAAATATAAATTCAAGATGGCGGCTTCCAAATAATTTTTTGTTTTTGTATAAATGACGATAACTCCGTTGTTATCAACACAAAGCTATTACTGCGACATATCATCTGTGAGAGAAAAAAAGTTATTTGTAACTAAGTCATAGTGAGCTATGACCTACATTTGAAAAACTAAAGTTGGTGCTGATATCTCAAATTCTAGAAGAGTTGGTATAAATTTCATATTTTTTTCGAAATCACTTTGGAAAACTGCCATGAGAATGTGAAATTCCTATTTGAATATTTTCATAAATAAAGAAGTTTCGGAGGAGACATGAAAATGATCAAAATCTGTTTTTTGCGTATAAAACAAAAACGAATAGATTTTATCAAAATATTTTTCCAAATTATAGTTGGCCTTGAAAAACTCCACATTTGGTGTCATTTAACCGACCTCGTATCTCTCACCGTTAAAAAGATACCCATGGTGAGCATGGTAAGTGGGACACACTGTATATGCCTTTGAAATCTGAAATGTACATCTTGAAGACGTACCTACGTAGTAGAATATACGTCTTAAAGACGCCTAAAAGATGTATTTTGGCTGATTGGGTTATACCCAATTGAAATATATCAGTTTAACTGACTATTTCAAACAATGTATGATCTATGTGCTATGTACAATTGTATATGTTTATATACTATTTATTAATTTAGAAGTATTACCCATTGTCTACTTATATATGTATTTATAAATACATATATAAATATATTATACACAACTGTTGACATGTCCTATACCATGTATTTGGTCACGGATTAATAAATATTATCTTATCTATCTTATCTTATCTTATTTAAATATAGTAAGAAAACATTTCGAATGCCATAGCAATCACAGAACTCTATAGACTTAGGCTATCAAGATAAATCGATAAAATCGTGCCGAAAAATTACTACACCGCACTAGTGCTGAAAAGTTACTTTCCCGTACGACGTACGATTTTTGTATTGTTGAAAATGAGGATATTTAGGTCTAACTAAATGATCTATTTAACTATTCTGTCTTGTGTGTCATTTTGTACCATTACTATAAAATCTTATTGACCTTTTTTTCCATAAATGATATGGACAAAAACATATGCAATCAACAAATTTCTGACCTGAACTATTTTCAATTTTTTTTCATTTTCTTCCTTTTCATTTTTTAATTTCTTGTGATTTGTTTTCTATTCTTTCACGTTTTCCCTAATATCCTTTCATTACCTTCCACTTTCTTGACTATCCTTGCTTCTCCTAGTATTTCCTTCAATTTCTTTCCATTTTCCTTTCCCGTCTCTGTCCGTTCTTTTCTATTTTCTCACGTCCTCCATCATTTCCCTCGCTCCGATTTCTTTAGGTTTCCTTAATTTCTTTCATCTTACATTTTCTCTCATTTATTTTCATTACCTTCCGTTCATTTTTATTTCATCATATTTCTCTGAAAAATAATTTTTTTCATCAGTATAAGTATTTTGATAATAATGCCAGATTTTTCTCATTATTTTCATAACATGACTCTAGCTGTTTACATTATAATAAAATAGAATATCAAGTATTTCCGTATTATTGGAATATAATTTTTTCAGGTTGTTCTCAATGGGTTAGAGTATAAGCCCAACGTTGCCAGTAATAACAAAAAAGAAGCCAAAGCTGTTGCTGCCACAGTGTGTCTGCAGCAAATAGGACTATTTCCATCATAGAAATAACATATTTTCTATAATTATTATGGTTGTAGTGAAAAGTACTTTTGTTCATAATCTTTTTGAGTAAAGGTATAATTCATATCATCGATGAGACTCTTTTTTCCTTTTAGATTTAGAACAAGTTTTTCCTAATACCCAAGACCATCATCATTCCTGGACATCTAGATTCTATCTAGATCTAATTTATCTATTTATAATTTGTCAGATTCGAGTGAAATCTTTGAACGCCCTGTATCTTGAAAACAAATCTTATGACTAATGTTTATAGGAATCATCGACTGTCAAAGTTTTGTTACCATCCTGTATGTTCGCATAAGGTTCTAATAATAGGGATGTTCTTTTATTCACTGGTGGTTCCATCAATCCACCAACTGTGTTCATATATTCTTTGGTGAATTCCAGTTTGACATAACCTCGCCTTTATTACTGTTGTGCCAACCAAAATTGCAAACCATTCCACCGATGTACAGGGTGAGCCAAATTGGACATTTTTAAAGAGAAAGTCCTATTCTCGAACCAGATGGAAGAAAACTGATGTCGGTGTCTGAGGGTGGATTCTCATGAGAAACTCAATTATGAAATCTGCATATCGGAGTTACAAGGTGTTTTTCGAAAATGGGTATTTTTGAAAAGTGGCTACATATATTTTTTTGACAAAAATTGTCTGTTCTCATGAAAATAACTGCAAAGCATTGAGTTTGTGATAAGAATTGTTCACGAGGCATTGGAATCGGCCTTCCTATATCTAGTTCAAAAATATAACTTGTTCTTCTTGAAGGGAAAAGTTCTATTTTGCAACTAGGTATAAGGTGACTGATTTCAGTGCCTAAGGATCAATTATCATGACAAACACAATGCTCTGGAAATATTTTCATGAAAACGAAGCATTTTTGCAAAAAAAAAAGAGTTTTAGCCACTTTTCAAAAATTCACATTTTCGAAATGTACGGGAATAGGACTTCCCCTTTGAAAGTGCCCAATTTATTGGCCCACCCTGTACAGAGATGGTGAAGGAATTTTGGTGGATTTCGAAATGACAGCGACAGCATATAATCTCAAAAAACTAAAAATAAAATATTGGATTTGAAAGCTGTTTGCCATTCGAAAAAGAAAAAATATGGATGAATTAATCGAAATCAGCCTGAAATTTGAAAATAGAAGAATAGCTGCATTATTGACACCAACAAAAATTGAAGAAATTTCGAGTGAAAGGTACTTTTTTCACCATGAATTTCAAGAAATTAATGTAAACATTCAGGACACTTGAGTACCAACAGAGAATTCTTATCAATAACTCTATCTCTATCCATATCATCATAATTCAATGCAATGTTTTATACAGGACGTGATCCACGGTGGATGGCCTATTAGAAGTATGTATCTGGAGAACGAAAAAAGACAGAACATTCTGAAAATTGGGATGCTTTATTGATAATTGAACATTCTCTATCCGTCTAAAATATTTTCATCGATACAGTGTTGCCACTTCTATCAGAAACAACTTGCAACTTCGTTATTTTCAATGAAGCACCCTGTATTTTATTGCATTTTTAGATTCTTCCTGAAGAGCTGATTTCATGAATGCATCACACTTGAGGTCTAGCAGGAATAACTTTCGTACTTTCGATTCACTATCTACTGACATTTAATTGGAACAGATACAGTAGGGTGATCAGAATTCTGAATCTTGAAGCACCCTGTATTTTTTCCAATCAAATTTCAGTAGATAGTGAATCAGAAGTTAAGATAGGGACATGGGAAGCCGTTTCGATCGATAATGAATAGTTTCGACACAAAAAAATCCTAAAATGGAAAAATCTCGATTTCGAACACCCTCTATATCACTGTAATCATTTCTGTTAGACCCCAAGTGTGATGCATTGATGAAATCAGCTCTGCAGGAAGTATCTAAAAATGCGATAAAATACAGGGTGTTCTATTTGAAATAACAAAGTTGCTAGTTGTTTCTGATAGAAGTGGCAATAACACTGTATCAATGAAATTTTTTCAGACGGATAGAGAATGTTCAATTATCAAAGCATCCCAATTTCCAGAATGTTCTGTCTTTTCGTTCTCCAGATAGATAGGCCATTCACCGTGGATCACCCTGTATTTTTTTTTATAGGTTGTTTAGAATTTTAAACCTCCTCTACTCGCCAACATGAACAATATTTCATCCCCGGAACTATCAGAAGAACTGCTAGATAACTTCTGAATCTGGAGACAAAGACTCCAATACCATCACTTAATACATCATTTCCCATTTTACATTAGTTTTCGCCAATTCTGAGGTTCTAATAATTGAAAAAAAAAATCTAAATACTTATCAAATCACGAGAATATAAATGAATAAAAAGGAAAAACCAGTTGTCATGTCAAATTACAATTACAACACTGATGACTCCAACAATTCGTTGCATCAGAGAGTGACGTCACTTCCGTCAATGATGAAAATGTGGTGTTGAAAAGAACATGCCTATTATAGTATCTATTCTCAAAGCTGTTGAGGTCCTATAGAAAAACGGACTCATCCTGTATAAATGCGATTAGAACAAACCCGGGCTGATTCGGGGTTAATTCAGCAATTTTCCTGTGCATATCACACGAATTCGTGTACCAGGTGGTGTGAAAAGGGCATTCAATTTATTTCATACTTGGTCGATCACTCACAGCTGGGGTGTTCTCTACTGATAACAGAAACTTGGAAAGTCTGTCCTATTTTCCGTTCGACATTCTCTCACATTTCTCGAACGAGATTGAAGTGCAAGGAGTGAATGTTAGAAAATGTCTATAGATTTTCCACCTTCACTGTGCGAAACAAAACAAAATTTGTTGATACATAAAAACAAACTCAAATTTGGTGCATACGGTTTTCTCCTGGTCTATATTTTTTATACACATTTCGATATGTTCAGCAATCCTCAGGTGAGATGTTTTTATTCGAGTGTTTATACACAGGGTGTAGTTCAATTCAAATATAAAATTGTGGTTATTTCAAAAAAGGGAATGAATAAAACATACGCTAACCATATATTAGAGGAAAATCATAGTTTGGATGACAATTTGAAAATTTTAGATGTTGAAAATGAAGAAATGAAACTCAGTCATTTGCATGGAATCATCAGAAATTGAAAAATCCTACATTTTATCTGACGATCAATTAAATCTCATGCAACAGCTCCCCGCTTTCAAAATTTAGCTTTTTACTAGCGAATAAAAGGAGTATAAAAGTGACCATCAACTTTGAAACAAATGGGTTTCGATATTAAGAAAATGAATGAATATTTTTTTATCATGTTCCTGACATGCAATAGAGTGGCTTATATTTTTTTTTCTTGAAAATGAAGCTAGATATGGAGAAAAATATGAACAGAGCACAAGAGATCAAATAGTTGCAGTTTTATTTGCATGATCTGAAAAAAATTGAGTGGCGTACATTTTTTCCCAATATTATTGGCTGTGGTGCCCACTGAAACGCCACTGGACCTAAAAATTTCGATTTACTTAAAGCTAAATAAGCGCATTCTCACTTCAAATATCAGCCAAATCAATTAAAGGATATTCATGATATTTTATAAATAATATTTCTTCAAAATTGAAGTTTTGCACCATATCTAGGAAACACCCTGTATATACAGTGTGTCCCACTTATCATGCTCACCATGGGTATCTTTTTAACGGTGAGAGATACGAGGTTGGTTAAATGACACCAAATGTGGAGTTTGTCAAGGCCAACTATAATGTGAAAAAATATTTTGATAAAATCTATTCGTATTTTTGTTTTATATGCAAAAAACAGATTTTGATAATTTAATAGCTCACTATGACTTAGTTATAAATAACTTTTTTTTCTGTTACAGATGATATGGCGCAGTAATAGTTTTGTGTTGATAGCAACAGAGTTATCGTCATTTATACAAGAACAATAATTTATTTGGAAGCCGCCATCTTGAATCCATAAATTTTAACGAAAAAATCATGATCTCCGACCTCAAAAACCCCCCCCACTTACCAATTTTGAATGGAATCGGACCAAATCTTGTCCGCCATCTTGGAGCAGCCATTTTTTTTCAATTTCAACAAAAATTTCATAATGTATTGTCACCGAAATTATGAACACCTGCCAAATTTCAAGTTAATCGGAGTTATGGAATTTTTTTTGAAATTAAAAAAAAATGGCTGCTCCAAGATGGCGGACAAGATTTGGTCCGATTCCATTCAAAATTGGTAAGTGGGGGTTTTTGAGGTCGGAGATCATGATTTCTTTGTTAAAATTTATAAATTCAAGATGGCGGCTCCCAAATGATTTTTTTGTTCTAGTATAAATGACGATAACTCTGTTGTTATCAACGCAAAACTATTACTGCGACATATCATCTGTAACAGAAAAAAAAGTTATTTGTAACTTAGTCATAGTGAGCTATGACCCACATTTGAAAAACTAAAGTTGGTGCTGATATCTCAAGTTCTAGAAGAGTTGGTATGAATTTCATATTTTTTTTCGAAATCACTTCGAAAAACTGCCATGAGAATGTGAAATTCCTATTTGAATATTTTCATAAATAAAGAAGTTACGGAGGAGACATGAAAATGATCGAAATCTGTTTTTTGCGTATAAAACAAAAACGAATAGATTTTATCAAAATATTTTTTTACATTATAGTTGGCCTTGACAAACTGCACATTTGGTGTCATTTAACCGACCTCGTATCTCTCACCGTTAAAAAGATACCCATGGTGAGCATGGTAAGTGGGACACACTGTATAGCCGAAACAAAATGTAATCTCAAGAATTGGTATTATTTTAGTGCATTATCGAAATGCCAAACAAAATGTCGGAGATATTCAGGGAACCGGAATTCTGCAATTTTTGCGAAAACATCACCAAAATAGATAAAGTGGAAAATATATCTCCTGACACATTCTACAAAGAATACGTAAAAACTGCAAAACCAGTAGTAGTAACAGACGGTATAAAGAACTGGCCAGCATCTACCACATTCTCCTTCCAATTCTTCAAAAATCTCTACAGCACTGTCGAAAAAAACGGCAATCCCAAAAAATCTTGCCAATTTTTTCCGTACAAAACCGAATTCAAAGGCTTAGAAGAAGTCTTCGGCATGAGCCAAGCCAGAGCCAGCTTATCTCCCGGAGAAAAACCTTGGTACGTGGGCTGGAGCAACTGCAACAATGAGGCTGGCAAAAAATTACGCAAGTACTATTCCAAACCGTACTTTCTGGGCAACAACTCTGAAAACATTGCCATGACTTGGATCTTCATGGGGGGACCTGGATATGGAGCACACATGCATGTAAGTAATACAGATAGCTTTTGGGTGTATGATAAATTGACATTCATCATACAGGGCGTGGAAAGTTTCCATCGTTCAAGTTCCACTTTTGCACACATAATTCAAGCACAAAATATGTACACTATTCCCAATAACAATAAATTTTGAGAGGGTACTAATGGAATTAGCCCTATATGAAACTGGCTTGTGATTTGAATTTTATTATTCGCTGGAAACATAACCTCACTATGTGTTTACAAGTTTCTATAACAAGTTTTAGAGTAAATAATATAATTCAGGTTCGAAAAAAATATATACAAGGAAGTAGGGCATTTTGAATGTCAAGTTCAGATGTAGACGTAATTTGAAACAGAAATACTTTGTAAGATATCAGCACTTGCGGTTTCATTGCATCGCACATTTTTGCGCATTTATTTGCTAGAAATTCCTCTCTGGATTCATGAGGAAAACAACCTCCAAACATAACGCCAATTGACAGTCATATGCCCGAGATCACCTTTCGCCAACGTACTATAAGGAAGATTTCATTGGGTCTCAAAACCATCAAAGCTTGTGGCTCCGACGGAATCCCACCGATTGATCTCAAGAAATGTGCTCCCGAACTCACACCTGTTCTCTGCAAGTTGTTCTACTACTCTTACGAATTGGGGATATTCCCGTCCAACTGTAAAATTGCAAGAGTACAATCAGCCTAAAAAAGGCAAAAAGACCCTACCTAGCAACTACAGACCGATCGCACTGCTATCTATTATTTCAAAGATCATGGAGACAGCTATCAACATCGAGCTCATGAAATACCTGGAACATTCAGGTATTATCAACGATAGACAATATGGCTTCCGTCATCAGATATCAACTAGTGACCTGCTCGCTTACGTCTCACATATATGGCAGCAATCTATTGAAAAATATGGTGAAACTTTAGCCGTGGCACTTGATATCTCCAAAGCATTCGATAGAGTCTGGCACCACGGACTCCTCGCCAAGCTTCCATCGTATATGGCTTGCCTCCCCAGCTATGTTCTCTGCTAGCTAGTTTTCTCTCAAATAGGTCTCTCCATGTAGTGGTCGACGGAGTTTCATCTGACTCTCTCACCATAAATGCCGGTGTTCCGCAAGAATCAATTCTAGCACCAACACTATTTCTACTCCATATCAACGATTTGTTGAAAGCAACTTCATGTCCAGTACACAGCTTCGCGGATGATAGTACCCTCCATACCGCCTTCTCTTCCAGGGCTCCAATACAAGCCAGGCAAATCAGAAACGAACGAGGAAGAAATGTTGACAACATAAATATGGACTTGGCAACAATTCTCGAAAGGGGATCAATTAACTTGGTAGATTTCAATGCAAACAAAACATAAGAATGCCTTTTCTCTAGAAAAACCGATCTCACTGTGCCAAACATAAGCATGTCAGGAGTAACCATACCGTTGAAGACATCCATTTCGATGCTTGGTATTACTATCAGCAATAACCTTTCTTGGGAAAATCACGTGAGATCAATTGCAAAAAATGCATCCCAAAAACTTGGTTTTCTGTTTCGGACCAGGAGCTATTTCACTTCCAGTCAGCTGCTTATGATCTATAAGGCACAGATCCGACCTGTCCTAGAATACTGTTTCCATATTTGGAGTGCAGCACCCAAACATACCCTGAAACTGTTGGATTCTGTCCAAAAAAGGGCAATTCGTCTCGTGGGTGATGCCTCACTCACAAACTCACTCACTTCTCTGGAACACCGTAGGAAAGTTGGTGATCTGGCTCTATTTTATAGATATTTTCATGGACGATGCTCTTCCAAAATATCAACAATTGTGCCTCCTTTGGCATTCCCCGCGAGATTAACCCGTCGAGTTGAGGCTTCGCACCCCTTCGTGGTCACTTTGGAGGCCTGCAGAACATATCTCTCCAAAGACTCATTCATCCAACGAACAGCGAGGCATATAACCTCCAGAAATTCAAGAAGAACACCAATTCCTACCTTATTTCCCTTTGTTCTCATGATGTTCTCTGAACATAACAGGATGTTGCTGATCAGGATAACACGTCTCAAGAGCAAGCGTTTGTGAATAGTGACGGTTCATGTTATTGAAAAAGAAGTATTCGTAGGTACTTATTGGAGAATCATTTATATTTTCAATTTGTTTCTTGAATTACAAATCATTCGTTTTTATTCAAGAATCGTAATCGCTTAGTAATTTCGAAGGGTATCTGATTGTTTAACAAATTGGTTATTTCAATTTCCAAAAGCATCATCCATCATTTGAATTTTAAAAACAAATTTAATGTTATTCGGCCTCATAAATTCACTAGTTTGTTGAAAAATCATTCAATTTTCCGTTTCAGCAATTAAGAAAAGGTAATGTTATAGGAAAATTATTCACCATTTGAAACTAATTTATATATCGCTTAGATATGCTGTTCTTTACCACATGAAATATACACGACACGGTGAAATAGTATAGGTCATAGTGATATTAGGGCGAAAAGCATGATGAAATGAAAAAAATTAACAACACTGAAAACTAATAGGTTTTTTTTGTTTTTCCATCGTTGGGAAGTTGACGAAATAGTATATAAAGTGCTCAAAGGAACAATAGGACCACTGAAATATTTTCAAACTGCCATATCTCTTTTGAAAATGAATGGATTTTCAATCGAAATGCAGTGCTTGGAAGATGCGATCTTTCTGTTCAAGATTCCCCATTCAAAACTCGTCAGAAGTTTTTCTGTCATTATACACAAAGTGTTCGAAAAAAGTATTTCAAGAATGAAAGAATTCAAACGCTTCCGTGTTCCAGGGAATTTTTTTTATTTTTCTATTAATCATTTTTTCGAATGTTCAAGCCAATTTTTCGAAACTGTTCTATAATTTTTCATATTCCTCATACAGGATGTTCAAAATCGATAATTTTTCATTTTCCGATTTGAAAAATTATGCAAGCCACATTCAACGTATTTTGCCACTCTACACGACCTTGTACTCTGTCAGCATTTCCTTCATATCCAAAAATTCAATCGAATCACTAACATAAATGTCTTAAAATTTGTATGATCTCGCCTTCGCTCACCTGCTCCATAATATCACGTCGGGGTCACCAAATTGTGAATACAATTGATACAAATTATAAGACTTTTAAGTTTTAATTATATTATGAAAATGTCACATCAATGTCAGACTATCAAATCATAATATACCAAGTATATAACATAACTAGACACCATAAGTATACTCTGGTCAGTTCACTTTGTGAATCTTCTGTTCGGTTCGTATGGACTGGATGGTTTTCTCCGATTGAGTGGCAAGTATCAAATACTGCTTCCCTGATCTGCAACAGAACATCACATATCAATCGAAGTACATTCATATCAGAAAATAATTATCATTAGATGTATTACATCGATGTTGAATCTGAGACATACCTGAATAATATATTCAACGTCCGTAACTGGATTGCTACATATCCGCTTTCTTTCCGAATAGTATTTTTTCCAGTAGACATCTTCCACATTTTCAATTACATACGTGGGTTAAATTAAGGACATTGAATGCGAAACGTTGTGCTGCTCGGATCTAAAACTAAGGATCAATTTCAAATTTGAATCGTGAGATCTACATAAAATATTGAATATTGTTTTCAACATTCATAACTGGAACGCGATATATTTTTGTAATTCATCAATTCATCAACTATCTCAATGAAGACGAGACAGGCAGATAAACAACAATTTTCTCTTCAATGAAGCACACTGTATATACCTAACCCACCATGCGCCTACCTCCTTTGCAGAGAGGGTTTAAAAACGCCGAGTTGATACTCTCCCCTCGTAAGGGTACCTGTCGTGTTTCCATAGAGACATAAAGCTGAATATCTGTCTTATCTGTTTTCTTGAGAATCTGGAAAGGATATCAATATATTGCCTTCCGTACGAATATAATGATCTGAATTCTGTAAAGTATACTCTGGTCAGGTCTCTTTGCGGATCTTCTGTTCGGTTCGTCTTGACTGGGTGGTTTTCTCCGATTGAGTGGCAAGTATCAAACACTGCTTTTCGGATCTGCAAATGAACATCACATATTAATCGAAGTACATTCAAATCAGAAAATCGATATCATCAGATGAAGTACATGGATGTTGAATCTGAGACATACCTGAATGATATTTTCATCGCCCGTAACTGGATTGCTACATATTAATCGAAATAAATTCAAATCAGAAAATAAATATCATTAGATAAAGTACATGGATGTTGAATCTCTGAATGATATTTTCAACGTTTGTAACTGGATTGCTACATATCCGCTTTCTTTCCGTATAATGGTTTTTCCAGTAGGCATCTTCCACATTTTCAATTACGTGGGTTATATTAAGGACCTTGCATGCCAAACAATGTGCTGTTTGGATCTGAAACTAAAAGGATCAATTTCAAATATGAATCGTGAGACCAACATAGAATATAAATCTATGGAAAGTCTGGATGTTGTTTTCAACATTCATAACTGGAACGCGATATATTTTTGTAATTCATAAACTATCTCAATGAAGACGAGACAGGCAGATAAACAACAATTTTCTCTGCAATGAATAACACTGTATATACCTAACCCACCATGCGCCTACCTCCTTTGCAGAGAGGGTTTATAAACGCCGAGTTGATACTCTCCCCTCGTAAGGGTACCTGTCGTGTTTCCATAGAGACATAAAGGTGAATATCTGTCTTATCTGTTTTCTTGAGAATCTGGAAAGGATATCAATATATTGCCTTCCGTACGAATATAATGATCTGAATTCTGTAAAGTATACTCTGGTCAGGTCTCTGCGGATATTTGGTTCGGTTTGTCTTGACTGGGTGGTTTTCTCCGATTGAGTGGCAAGTATCGAACACTGCTTTTCGGATCTGCAACTAAACATCACATATAAATCGAAGTACATTTAAATCAGAAAATTAATATCATCAGATGGAGTACATGGATGTTGAATCTGAGACATACCTGAATAATATTTTCAAAGTCCGTAACTAGATTGCTACATATCCGCTTTCATTCCGTATAGTGGTTTTTCCAGTAGGCATCTGCTACATTTCCAAATACGTGGGTTATATATAGGACCTTGCATGCCAAACAAAGTGCTGTTCCGATCTGAAACTAAGGATCAATTTCAAATATGATTCGTGAGACCAACATAGAATATAAATCTATGAAAACTCGGGATATTGTTTTCAACATTCGTAACTGAAACGAGATATATTTTTGTAATTCATCAACTATCTCAATGAAGACGAGACAGGCAGATAAACAACGATTTTCTCTGCAATGAAGCACACTGTATATACCTAACCCACCATGCGCCTACCTCCTTTGCAGAGAGGGTTTATAAACGCCGAGTTGATACTCTCCCCTCGTAAGGGTACCTGTCGTGTTTCCATAGAGACATAAAGCTGAATATCTGTCTATCTGTCTGCTTGAGAATCTGAAAAGGAAATCAATATATCGCCTTCCGTACGAATATAATGATCTGAATTCTGTAAAGTATACTCTGGTCAGTTTTCTTTGCGGATCTTCTGTTCGGTCCGTATTTACTGGATGGTTTTCTCCGGTTGAGTGGCAAGTATCGAACACTGCTTCTTGGTCTGCAACTAAACATCACATTTAAATCAAAGTACATTTGAATCAGAATATATCATTACAGGAAATACATAGATGTTGAATCTGAGACATACCTGAATAATATTTTCAACGTCCGTAACTAGATTGCTACATATCCGCTTTTTTTCCGTATAGTGGTTTTTCCAGTAGGCATCTTCCACATGTTAAATTACGTGGGTTATATTAAAAACCTTGCAGACCAAACAATTTGCTGCTCAGATCTAAAACTAAATATCAATTCCAAATTTGAATCGTGAGACCTACATAGAATATGAATCTATGAAAAGTCTGGATATTGTTTTCAACATTCATAACTGGAACGCGATATATTTTTGTAATTCATCAATTCATCAACTATCTCAATGAAGACGAGACAGGCAGATAAACAACAATTTTCTCTGCAATGAAGAACACTGTAAACAGGGCTTCTATTTCGAAACTTACCACCCTGCATATCTTTTGATCTGCGAAGATTACAGTTTTCGGGAAAAACAGGTCGATTTAGATATCGAGGGGGAAGTAAAATGCCAGTATCAATTGAATTCTATGTTCATCCCCTCCACCCCCAGACACCCCTACTTTGAAATCTCAAATGGCACCCCCTCTACTTTGAGATACATAAAATTGAAGGTCAATCAATAATCAAATCAACCAGGTGAAAAATAATTTATTTTGCATACAGGGTGGGTCATGAGGAACTGAACATACTCCTACCACGAACAGATGCCCCTGAGGGTAATACCGCATGGCCATCCAAAATGTTTTCTCCTCTTCTACAATAATATACAGAGTGATCCATAGGATTGGGCACAAAACTATATTCTTGTCATACCTTTATTCCAACAATTTCTTTGGATTATTAAATTTTTTGATGAAACATTATATGCACCCGTTCCTATATATAGACTGACGTATAGAAAATTGAAGAAATTTAGGACCGTACCTTTCATAAAGTTCTGTGAAAAAATATTTGATGTAGTTTTCATTACATTTGAGTTTTTCTTTTTGCCTGCATCAGGAATATTCGGCAGTAAGATACTGTTAAATTGTTATTTGTACAGATATCTTGTGCTTCAAAATGGTTTATTCATTACAAGAAAGAATAGAAATTATATTTATTTATGGAGCTGAAAATCGCTGTGCTAGAAGAACGCCTAGAGTTTTTAATGAAAGACATCAGGACAAGAATATTAGTCACCAATTCATCGTGGCTCTAGTGAGGAAATTAGAAGAAACGGGATCCGTTTGCAATAAAAAAACTATCCAACCAAGAGTTCTTGATGAAGCTGCTCAGATCGAAGTGTTGGGCCACTTTGCTATGGATTCGATGAACTCTATCCCCAAAGTGTCGAAAACTACAAATATTTCGGTTGGTTCCATACATAAAGTGCTGAAACTGAATAAATTCTTCCCATATAAAACTCAAATTCACCAGCAACTTACAGAAGACGATCATGACCTCAGAATCGAATTTTGTGAGATAATGTCTGGGAAGATTCAACAAGTTGTCAGTTTTCCTAAGCACATCTGTTTCAGTGATGGATCAACGTTTTATTTGAACGACTTTGTTGATGAACATAATTGTGGATTCTGTGACAATGAAAATCCACACATTTTTCGACAGGACCATACTCAGTTTCCTGAGAAAATCAATGTGTGGGCTCTTATTCCAGAAAATGATAATTGGACCACTCTTCATTGAAGACAATAATTTGAATGCGGATTGACAGAAGAGGTGCCATAGAATGGCCAGCAAGATCTCCAGATTTGACACCTCTTGACTCTTTTCTGTGGGGTCCCTTGAAAACAATGGTTTATAAGACTCCACCAGAAGATATTGATGAACTCAAAGAAGAATCATTTCAGAATGCAAACAAATTAATCGGGAAACGTTTCAAAAAGTTCGTCAAGAATTCGAAAATAGGCTGTATGTACTATTGTCTAGAATATAATGTACGACATTTTGGGCAATTGCTTTGAATACCACTCTGAAAAATTCCATTTCTTCTTAGACATGATTCGTCAAAAAAAATCATTCTAGTTGGTTCTGAAAGGAACTAGTAGGGTAAGGGTATACCATTTTCCGCTGGATGAAGCACCAACATATTTTGTTCTGATTGTCAGAAAATATGTCATTGTTCACTGAAACCATATACAGAGTGAACTCTTTGATAGCTGGCAACATTTCACAAGTACGGTCCTGGATTTTTTCCAATTCTGTATACGTTAGTCTATTGGTGTTGGTGCATAATGTTCGATGGAAAATGAAATAAATCAAAGAAGCTGTTGAAAAGTTGTGTCAAAAATATTTTTTCGCTGAATCCTATAAATCACCCTGTTCATCATTGTAGAAGAGGAGGAATAACTCCAGATGGCCATTCGCTATTCCCCTCAGGGGCCTCTGTTCGTGGTAGGAGTATGTACAGTACCTCATGACTCACCCTGTATACGAAATAAATATTTTTTCACCTGATTGATTTGATCATTCATCGACCTTCAATTTTATGTATCTGTATCTATGGTGAAGGGGATGAACATAGCATTCAATTGATACTATTATTTTACTTCCCCCTCGATATCTGAATCGACTTGGTTTTTCCGAAAATTGAAATCTTCGCAGAACAGAAGATATGCAGGGTGGTAAGTTTTGAAATGAAAGCCCTGTATAGTATACAGAATATAAGTTGAAGTATTGAACACGGATATACTGACAGTATTATTTTCGAAAGTCTAATGATTTAAAAGAATTTAACGTTAGGCTGAAAATATAATCTTTCCCAAAATATCTGGAAAGAAGAGGAAAATAATGAACAATGTGGTCTACTTTTTATAAGCGCGCATCCAAATTGACATTTGGTATAATAATAATATGTTTATTTCGACAGAATCAGAATACAATGGAAGAAATAATGATAGCAAGTTAACATTAGGTAAATAAACATTATAAAACCCACAGAAGCAGCAAATGCTGCTTGTACGTGGTGAAAAAGTATGAATTTCATTTGACGAGCTATTATTGAAAATACTAAGATTAATAATTTTGGAATATAAAACTACGTAGGTTCAAAAATTCAAGAGTGTAAAATATTTTTACAGGGTGTTTCAAAAAAACCTAACCCCCTTGCTAGGGTAGGTAGAACATTGCAAAATAAGTTGGGTTTGATCAGTAAAACAATGTCGTAACGCCATCCGTTTCCAAGATACAAGGTGTTGAAAAAATATTTCTTTTACACATTTTTTACGATTATGTTGGAACTACTGGCAACATTGTGATGAAATTTTGTATGAATATGTTTTGAAAGCTGACACATCGCATGCATTCGTTTTTATATCTGACACTCATAGAGGGCGCTAGTTACACGGTTCGAACCGAGTACTTTTGAACATAACTTTTTCGAGGTTGGATTTTTCACTCCAAATTGAATGTGAACTTGAACATGATTCAGTTTTACACTAAAAAGGTGCTCCTGGTAAAACTTGATACTATGTACCGTTTTCGGGATATTTCGATTTGAAAATGCTGAAGTACAACACTGATGCTAGTTGAAAGTTGAAAGTAAGTATTATAAAAGACTGTTACCTATTTATTGATAACCACGTCAAGAGCTGCAAGAAAGAATTGAACATTACTTCGATGATCTCATAGCTGATCCTCAACCGTTGAGAAGATTGATGCATCAAGAATGCATCAAATTCTTCAGAAAAAAAGGATCGAATTGTGTAATCCTGAAAACGGAGGACATTTTGGACACTTACTCTAACAAGAAGATGTTTCAAGTCAAATTTAATTAAATATCTGCTGATGTGATTTTGTTCAATCGATAACTTCAGCAGTAAAATAATGTTGATAATATTTGTCCTTAATGAATTGAGGATTGTTTTTTATAATACGTAGGTATTCTAATACCAGAATCAGAGTTATTGCTTCAGCATTTTCAAATCGAAGTATTTCGAAAACGGTACACAGTATCGCGTTTTATCAGGAGTATCATTTTGGTGTAAAATTCGATAGTGTTCAAGTTCACATTAAATTTGGACTGGAAAATCTAACCTCAAAATAGTTATGTTCGAAAGTACTCGGTACGAATCGTGTAACTAGCGCCCTCTATGAGTGTCAGTTCACAGAACACATCCATACAAAATTTCATCACAATGTTGCCAGTAGTTTCGACATAATCGTAAAAAATGTGTAAAAAAATATTTTTTCAACACCTTGTATCTTGAAAACGGATGGCGTTACGACATTCTTTTACTGAGCAAACCCAACTCATTCTGCAATTTTCTACCTACCCTAGCAAAGAGGTTAGCTTTTATTGAAACACCCTGTATATAAAATAATCAGAATGGATATATATGAAAATAAATGAAATGAAAGAACTCCGGTGTTAAACTATCACAAAAACTTCGGAGATGTATAATATATATATGTATATAAAATTACTGACAATACTATAATAAATAATTGCGGAAGCACTCGAAAATATCTAAAATAATTGACAAATTGTTCTATGGAACGAAATCCATCGATAGTTTACCTAATTCGGCTCTAATTAAGTTGAAATTTGAGGACTGGTAATTTTTTTTAATAAAATTGGATTTTTTAATAACGGGTTCAATAAAAATACTATTTTTCGAATTGGATGCGCACTGTTAAAAAAAAAGTTTTTTGTTTTGCCTGAAGACGGATCTGGTTTCTGAATTCGATTCATATTAAGTTTTGATGAGAAATATGAGTTGAATATACCTACCAAGTATGAATCGATAGTGGTTCAAAAGTTATGACCTGACCATAGAAGAAGATTTTGCCAAAATCAAGATTACGTTCTGTATCACAGTTATTGAAGATGGTAAATTCTTAAAAGATACATTTTCGAACAGAAAGTACGAAAATCAGAAGAAAGTATTCCTTGATCGGAGAAAATACAACAAACGGTACGAAACAGTCGGGAGAAATCCATGAAAATATGCATGTGATCAGAATTCTGAATCTTGAACCACCCTGTATCTGTTCCGATTAAATATCAGTAAATAGTGAAACAAAAGTTGAGATATGGACATGTGAGCCGTTTTGACCAATAATGAATATTTTCGACACAAAAAAATCCTAAAGTTGAAAAATATCGATTTTGAACACCCTATATCTATGTAATCATTCTCGGTAGACCAGGAGTATGATATATCAATGGAATCAGCTCTTCAGGGAGAATTTAAAAATGCGATAAAATACAGGGTGTTCCGTTCGAAATATCAATGTTGCTACTACTTTCTAGTAGAAGCAGCAACACTGCATTGTCGAACATATCTTAAATGAAAAGAGCGTATACCAAAATATAAGCATGCACATTTTCATGGATTTCTCCCGACTGATTCTCGATTTAAAGATAGTGTAAGCTCATCGTGACATACCTTGTATAGGGTAATGAAGTTAAATGAATACAGATAGATATAAAGTACTGCACTCACCAGCATGAAAAAAGTGAAGCTTTGATGACACAACACGAAACACTAGAACAACACACGATCCCGATATTATTATTATTGAATCCAATGAGGAATACAAAAACACTATATACGAATCAATACGATCACTCAGTTTTTAGGAAACACTCAGTGAGGATTTGATGACACAACACGAAACACTAGAACAACACACGATCCCGATATTAATATTATTGAATCGAATGAGGAATACAAAAACACTATATACGAATCAATACGATCACTCAGTTTTTAGGGAACACTCAGTTTGGAACGATAAATAATTCCTCTCGCGTATTTTTCGATGTCGATCACAAAATTCGACCGTTCGTGATGACATCTAATATAAGACTGTCTTGATTTACCACCTGGTCCCGAATGAATGACTAATACGTTGAATCATACTGATAACCGATTAATTTCCGAACAAAAAATGATTTATCTATGACTAATGATGATAATAAAATTGAACGGGGGGAAGGAGATATTTTGTATACAGGAGCTATTTTTTTTTTCGAAAATCACTAACGATATGGAAGAATTTTACATAGGCTGAAAATATTTTTTTTCTAAATCCACTAAATCATGATTTATTAATGTTTCCACTCACTGAGTCGTGACGTCACCAGTCAGAAGTAGCAAATTTTGACGGTCTAAATGAATCAGTGACTTCAATTTCAATTTTGAGACTCTAGAGCTGATTAGAATTTTTTGAAAAATAATTAAATTGAAAGCATTAGTGCGTAACGATCAAGAATGAATAATGAAAAAAAATCACCACTAACCCATTGCCAGGGCTGGAATAAGTCTCGACTTTCATGAAAAAGTCATAAAAGTCCGACTTTATGAATCAATCCGGACTTTTGAAAAAATGAAATGTTAGTTTCAATTAGTAATTAATTTTCAGATTGATAATGTGCATTATCCTTCTTGGCAAGCTCAACTAACAGGAAAAAAACGTTGGAAATTTTCCCCACCTCCCGAATGTTATAACATTTGCCATTCGATGGATATTTTAGTAGAACCCGGAGAAATAAGTGAGTATACCTACTTTTACACACTGCCCTGCAAAAAAACCGTACACTTTATATCAGCCCTACTTCCAAAATTGCCTTTGGTCCGAACTGCTCTTCTGATTTTGATGATCATTTTAAACTCTAGGTTAATGCATGAGTCATGATGCTGTGGTAAAAATGTATACTCAACAGTAAAAACACAAGATAAATTTCTCCTGCGAAAAACATTTGCTGATCAGTGTTGTCGTTGATTGATCTTGCCAAAAAACACTCGGACTTCTTTTTAATTGGAGAAATTTCCTTATTAATTCAATATCATTTTCCATCAGTTATTCCTCTGGAAAAACTGACAGACAAAGTTGCTCGACCAACGGTCTCGCAATTTTTCATGTCAGTTTTTCTCGTAAAATTACTGACCGGCAAATGTTTTTCGTTACCAAGAGAAATTTATCCGATAAAAAAATCTCTTTTTTCTGCAACCGACACAAAAGTCGTCCATTTTGATACCAAAATTAGCTCTTAAATTGACGTTTCTATTACTGGCACAAAAATAGGTATGTTGCTAGGCAACATATTTAGTTCCTAGGAGCTAAAGTTTAATTTTAGTTCCTAGGAGCTAAAGTTGAACTTTAGCTCCTAGGAACTAAAAACGATGTACTGGACGTCATCAAGAATAAACAACATCGTGACGGTTGGTTATTTGGGTTGAGACGCATACCTGATTTGTTTCCGATTTCAGCAGATTTGGCATTTCATACCCATGCTGGAGATATAAATACACCTTATTATAGTTTAGTATTGGAATTATAAACATATCTCAGTTGAGTATTTTTGTTTCGATCAGGAAAGCCTTCAAGATTCAAATACCTGCTTGATCTGTATTTCATTCGTTATTCTCGGGATGGATAACTTGTTTTTGAATAATCACGGCAAGCAATAGTTTTTTTGTCTCAAACAACGATATTGTTTAGCTTCATTTGATTATCGAGTCAAACACAGTGTAGTATGGAGAGGAATAAAAATAATCACTATTATCATTGTTGATATGCTCACTAACCTAACATTTTCCACGTCTTGTTCCTATAGCTGGCACTGGCGCGGTATTTGCCATTAGCACCTGGTCCATACACAAATATGTCACTCTGTGGTTGTATTTATATTGAAACTACAATTATTCGAACATCCTAGCAAAACTTAACCTGCTGTTAATGCAGGTAGAATATTCTCACCACATGGATTATTTGTCAATATTTGTTGCATTGCATACATATGGCACGGCATTGGTGGTTACTTTACATGTTTATTTGAGTTAATTGTTTCGGTTGCAGAAAAAATAGCATGTTTCATTCGGATCAAAAGTGACTTTGTTCGACTCGCAAATTTTGCAAAATTCGCTTGTCAAACAAAGTGTCACTTTTGATCCTAATAAAACAATCTACTATTATTGTGTTTTTACTGTTGATAAAAAAGGTGCATCCTACTTTATCGATGTCGTATAGACACTTGAAAGGCGATTCAGATGAGATATTACTCAACCCCCATTGAATTTCAAGAAATCTTGTAGCAAAATGAATATAAAAAAATTCCAGCCATTGAAAAGTTAACTAATGGGGGATAGTATGTACAGGGTGATCCACGGTGGATGGCCCATTAGAAGTATCTGGAGAACGAAAACACAGAACATTCTGAAAATTGGAATGCTCTGATAATTGAACATTCTCTATCCGTCTAAAATATTTTCATCGATACAGTGTTGCCACTTCTAAAGCTCAAAGTCATTTCAACACAAAATGTTCACATAATGAACAACAATGGTAGATTTATAGAGAAAAACAACTACTTTCCTGGCTAATGCCACGCAGAACATTGAATTACATCCTACAGAAATCTATGCATCGACTCGTATAAACGAATACTGATACAAGTGGTTCCTTCCTGAATGCCTATTGATTTCGATTTAGCCAGGCCATGCTAGACAACCACAGACCGGTTTCGAGCTCTTTGACTCTCATCAGTGCAGTACACTGCATTCAGGAAAGAATCACTTCGTTTATACGAGTCGATGCAAAGATTTCGGGAGGAAGATAATTCAATGTTCTGCGTGGCATTAGCCAGAAAAGTAGTTGTTTTTCTAGCGAAATCTACCACTGTTGTTCATTTTATGAACATTGTGTGGAAATGACTTTGAGCTTTTTGTATTTATTTAACATTTCATTCCACTTTGAGCATTATAGCTATTTCGTAGTTGGAACTAGCAACTTTGTTATTTCAAATGGAACACCCTGTATTTTATTGCTTTTTTAGTTTTTTCCTGAAGAGCTGATTTCATCAATGTATCACACTTGGGGTCTAGCAGAAATGATTACAGTGATATAGGGTGTTCAAAATCGAGATTTTTCAATTTTAGGATTTTTTTGTGTCGAAACTATTCATTATCGATCAAAATGGTTTACATGTCCCTATCTCAACTTTCGATTCAATATCTACTGACATTTAATTGGAACAGATACAGGGTGATCAGAATTCTGAACCTTGAAGAACGCTGTACTTTTTCCAATTAAATTCCAGTAGATAGTGAATCAGGAGTTGAGATAGGGACATGTAAGCCGTTTTGATCGATCAAAATGGCATACATGTCCCTATCTCAACTTTCGATTCACTATCTACTAACATTTAATCGGAACAGATACAGGGTGATCAGAATTCTGAATCTTGGAGCACGCTGTACTTTTTCCAATTAAATTCCAGTAGATAGTGAATCAGAAGTTGAGATAGGGACATGTAAGCCGTTTTCATCGATAATGAATAGTTTCGACACAAAAAAGTCCTTAAATTGAAAAATCTCGATTTTAAACACCCTATATATATCTGTAATCATTCCTGCTAGACCACAAGTGTGGTACATTGATGAAATTAGCTCTCCAGGAATAATCTGAAAAAGACAAAATACAGGGTGCTCTATTAGAAATAATAAAGTTGCTAGTTGTTTCTGATAGAAGTGGCCACACTGCATCGATGGAAATATTTTAGTCGGATAGAGAATCTTCAATTAACAGAGCATCCCAATTTTCAGAACGTTCTGTCTTTTCGTTCTCCAGATACTTCTAATAGGCCATCGCCACCGTGGATCACCCTGTATTCTCTTATGAAAAAACTCCTGATACATGGAACATTGTCGATCGTAATGGAAACCTAGTAGGCGACCTAGAGCGAGGAGGTATAATAAGCTCCTTTATGTACATTTTTCAGTTGTTGCTGACACCAACCGCTGGTACCATCAGACAGTGATAATGGAGGGAGACTTGAGCATCACTATCGGATCAGAATTCGATTAAAATTGATGGAAGAAATTCATTTTGAATTAATTATAATAATAATTAATAATAATTGCTTCTGTTGTTTTTTGCTCATTAAATCTCGAAGCTGCTTTGCTCATGGAAACCCTTCTAAAATAATTACGCATGAATTATCTCATTTTTCATTCCTTTATTTTGTAAAACATAATTATAAAAAAAACAAATTGTGCATAGCTGCGAATGGTGACAGCTCACTTCTGTAAAATTTGTTCCGAATTTCAACACCAGCAGTCTCACTATAGATAGTTGAATTCGGAACATTGCCCGAGATTTCTTACTTGAAAAGTGACAACACCGCTTTTATCGTCGCCGGCATAGCGCTGTTGCCACATAATTACTTCATAGTTTTGAAGGGTAGTAGGGGACTAAACCAAAATCATTAGAAGGGATGATTGGTACTTGAGAAGTAGAAGGTTGTTTTAACTTAGAAGATTTAACAATTGGATTAGGTTTACAAAGTATCGATACAATTGCATGATGGTGCAATATTATTATGTGAATAACCTCATGTTATGAATCTGAACACTGTTTCAAATTCAACCACAATAAATGCATACAATCCAGTTCAATTGATGCAGTTGGTAGCCTTCAAATCGAAACGCAAAACATTTGGTTTTGTCATAATTTGTCAAAGCTATTGTTTGTAATAATCGCTTCCTGAAGTGGAGTTGAATGAATTTTCAGCATTCAATTAGAAATATGTTGAGTTTGAATATGAGTAGGTATCAATTCAATTTGAATGATAAAAAAGTGTTATTGATCAAGAAATGATATAAATGATACCTAACCCCCTCTATCTTCAAATTCAATTTGAGAAAAACTTGACGTTGATGAGATGCATGAAAATAATGACAGGAGAGAGATGGACAGAAGAAAAATCGAATACATTTGATGCAAATATTTCGAAGAGGACGCCGGATATTTTGGTCCTTTTTATTTTGATTAAAAGCTTTTCTAAATTTCGAAATCTTCAGTTGATTGAGCTGAAATTTTACGTTCAGTTTGGATGACAATGCATGATGGTATGTGTGAAGTTATTCTAAATCCAATATGACGGACCATCCAAGATGGCGGAATAGTTATTTTCAATGCACTTCTACAATATGGGTATCAAATGAAAGGGCTCCTTGGGACCAACTCGAAAAATTATATGACGTCATTCTGAATTCAATATGGCGGACCATCCAAGATGGCGGAATAGTTATTTTTAATGCACTTCTACAATATGGGTATCAAATGAAAGGGCATGTTGAGAGTAACTCGAAAAATAATGTGACGTCATTCTGAATCCAATATGGCGGACCATCCAAGATGGCGAAATAGTTATATTTTCAATGCACTTCCACAATGTGGGTATCAAATGAAAGGGCTTGTTGAGAGTAAATCGAAAAATAATGTGAAGTCATTCTGAATCCAATATGGTGGACTATCCAAGATGGAGGAATAGTAATTTTTAATTCACTTCTACAATATGGGTATCAAATAAAAGGGCTCGTTGAGAGCAACTCGAGAAATGATGTGATGTCATTCTAGATTCGATATGGCAGACCATCCAAGATGGCGGAATAGTTATTTTCAATCTACTTTTACAATATAGGTATCAAATGAAACGGCTCGTTGAGAGTAACTCAGAAAATAATGTAACGTTATTCTAAATTCAATTGGGCTTGTACAGTACACAAAATGCAAGGTAGTACTGTCGACCAGGCCGTTTATTATTTACTTAGGCTCGAAACTCTTCGCTGTTGGTCAAACATACGGGGCTTCAAGTAGGATAAAATCATTAGAAGGTTGATAGTTGAAATTATAAAGGAACATTTCATTTTATTCTTTTTAGGGTGTTTAAATAAAAGGTTTTTGATAATTTTTTGTCTACTTTTAATTTATTTATGTCCGGGTAGTACCGCCACTGCTCAAATCTCTCCAATTTCTGGGTTATTTACAGGAGGCGCGTCTATTTCACCCTAATCCTGATGAAATATATATGGTAAATCATTACCGAAATCAAAGACGATAATATAACAACGATAAGGCAAATGTGTATTTAAAGGTCATGATCCCTTATTATCATATTTCTACATTATATGAATACAGTTTATTACCAATGCTGTTTGTATTGAGATTTTTTAGTGAGTTCAAACTTTTTGCAACTGTTACAGTTACGTAAATAATTTGTTATTAAATTTCGGAAAAGTCTGACTATTACATCTATACGGATAGTACCAGTTAATGTAGTGTTTGAGAAGAGTCGGAAATTTCAAGAATTCCTCAAAAGTGTGGTTTTTTATGTACTGAGTGGATTATACCTCAATTACATTCGAATTATGTCAGCTATTCAATCAAAACAGGTAAGACATACAATATACAGTGTGTATGATTTCAACTCGCAACACTCTCCTAATTTGGAATGCTGATAGACCGATTTTCAAAAACAAATATTCGAAAACTATAGCTCTCGTCGAAAATGTGGATAAATCTAAAATATTCAGAATCTCAAGACCTACAACTGTTTGTTGAAGGGATATATACATTTCAAAAACTACTATTGGGCAATTTATTTCCGAATAATATGTGTATAAAGCTTATTCGATTCAAGTATAGCTGAAATAACCCAATTCAGAATTTGAACGCAATACCTCATATTATAGGGTATTAGTTATTTAATGGCATATTTCAAAATTTATCATAACAAAATAGACGAAAAATATTCAATACATGACTGCATAGTCCTCATGTATGATGACGAAAATAAATGTACATTGGATATCAACAGAAAATGAAATTTTTTTCAAAAAGGATACCAACCACTCTTTTATACAAAGTATTCAATTAAAATCAATTTCAATTCGGATTTCGCAACACCCTGCAAAGAATAGGAGAGAGAATCTCACAAATTCAGCCAAATATTTAAAAATAGAGTTGCGACACTCTGTGAATCTGGTATAGGGGGATCATTTTCCTTTAATTTTGAAGATAAATGATTGAAATTCGAGTAGTTTTGCGTTAAAAAAATGGTCCCAGGTGGAAATAAATCCCACAAAATGTTTTTTTACTTTTCTCAGTTCACAATGTATAGAAAAACACATATGAGAAAATATAGAATGATACCTGTGTGCGAAATAAAAATACAGTGTTTCCAATATTCGTTTATTCGTTAATACGTATAAATCATAAACCTAATTAAAATGGCATATTTGGCATGTAACAAAAGTTCATTCATTATCTTCATCTTCTTCGATTGGAATATTGGTACAATATCTTCCCGAACAATTATTGCACAATACTGTGCAAAAAATTCCGTATCGTCGACATTTACATCTGGTTCCTCAACCACAAGGTGATGCATCTACTTCAACAACGATTGTGGTGCGGGGCTCATCTCACAAGTGATAAGCTGAAAGTGTCTATCAACTTTTTTCCAACACCAATCTTCATTATTGACAGGGTGGCTAGAGTTCAGGGTTTTCCAATGAATACACTGCAAATGAAATTCGTTCGAATGTTATCCTGAAGATCCTAACAGAGGTAGCGGAACATGTGATGAGATGTGAAACAATCATTTCGGTTTGGGCACCTGAAATATATGAAAATTTGCATTAAAACATTTTTGCATGAGTGAAAGCATCTATATTTTCAATAAAGTGTTAGGGTTCGAATGAGGTTTCAGAAAATGAAAACTGCGTATTTGTGGGAATTATTTCCACCCCAATTCCTTCAACTGCTCTACATGTGAATATACCCACCAAAACCATTTTGGTGGACTTCATCAGAAGATGCTATATAGCATATTGTTTAACGAGCACGGAATGATGGTAATTTCCCACGAGAATGACGTTTTCAGCATGAGCCGTAAGCTCATCTCTTAGACAGAGCTCTCATTGATTGAAATTTGACATTGAGCCATGATGCATAATATCTTGCATGCTGATATGATGCCTTTTCACCTTGATTATAAGATTTTGATCAAAAATTGAACTGAAATTCAAACGAAAGTAAAGAAACTTTTAATGTCTGCTCATAAGGCTTATGTCACTGTCATTACGTGAGTGTTTTGTTTACCAAAGAAGACTCGAAAACAATAACAGCAAAATATCATGCATTATAGCTTTCCGTGGCACCCTAGACAAAATTAATGTGAATAAATAAATAGCCAGTATTTTCCTTAATAATATTGAATATATGTTCTTATTTTCAATCCAATCGCAAATGAATTAGTATCGTCGGATTCGTCAAAAAATCCTCGTTTCGAAAAGTTCTTGTCAAACAATGGTTGCCGTTTGAAAAATAATAGTTAGACATGGAAATTATAATTTTTGGAGATCACCTGAAGTCCTTAGATAAGTTCACGACCGATCATGCACACCTAAATGCATTATTATTTTGAAATAAAATCTTCTCCTTAACCACCCTGTATCTCTCAAACCAGCAATATTTTTATGAGGCATGTTGGGCTGAATTTTCATATTATTTGGGTGTTTACATTCTGTAGCCCAGAGATTTCCCATTCTTAATTTAATAAATAAAATTATTAAAATGTCATAAGTGGTTCTCCAAGAGCCAATAACACAAAAACAGTTGAAGCTAGACAGTCTGATAAAGAGTACATTCTTCATAAATGAAATTGAACGAGCTTTCAGATTTTCCGCTTATTTTGATCATCAATGAATTGACATAGAAGATATGATGTAAATTATCGAAATAACAGAGTGCCATTAGCGCCATCTATGAGCAATCACAAAATAAGTTGCAAAGTCATATTCCTCATGTCAGAAAACCTAGAAATACAAGATTTCATGTTCATGCTGTTGAAACTAACAAAGTTATTTTGAAATTTTGAAATACAATCTCTTTCTAGAACACCCTGTATCTCCTAAACCAGCAACATTCTCATGAGGCATATTGGGCTAAATCTCATTATTTTTGTGTTTACTATCTATAGTTTAGAGGTTTCCATTCTTAATGAATCACCCTGTATATTTCTACATACCTACTAGTTCGAGTTCGAGAAAATAATTCTGAGCCCGTTTTTTTTCAAAATTTTTTCTTCGGGTTCAGACATTCTTCTCTGATCTGAATAGCAAACATTTTAATATATCTTTTTAAAATCGGGGACAATGCTTATTATTATTTTCTTCAAGAAGACCCAGGTGCCATTTAGCAAAATAGCCGTTCAAAAATGACCTATGGGGAAACAGAGTATTTTGTCCTCACAGTCAAAAATCATTTTTGGATACCACTTTAGTCGAAAATATCAGAAAAAGATAAGATTGGGTTTGCATAACAGCTGACTTGACGTAGATAGAACGGAAGTCAAAGTTCCATACGCATCAATAATTTCAAATTGAATTATGTGTCCAGTGCATGCCACTTCATTTTGGTGGTTTTTCTATAACCACAAGAAATTTTTTTCGGGCGTTACCTCTAGAATTCGAGCCTCCAAATTCACAAGATTATAATAATTCAATTTTGATCCTGTCCAGTTCAGAAAATTATAATTGATAAGAAGATGTGAAAAACAGTTATTCTCTCTCTGAAAATTTACATTCAATTGTCACTTTTCTATACGCAGTTACTTATGCATATATGTATATAAACTATAAATGTATATACATAAACAGAGTATTTCTCATTGTCTGATTTTGTCTGATTTTCAGGATACAGAGTGTTGAAGTTGAAAATATTAGCGATATTCTTTTATTTCAATCCTGTATATATAAGCTTTCATAATGAAAAAAAAAATAGTCTGGTCGTACACCGAAAAGTCTCGAGACTTCCTAAATTGAATTTATTATTATGGTCATCAAGTCAGGACTTCCTCTAGTCGTCAACCTAAAAATATGTCGAACAATGCTCTACTTAAACTCCTATCGAGTTTTAACAGGAAGAAAATCAATAAAATTATGGATAGTTTTATGGTAAATACTGTCTGTAGGTTAATCGAGGTGGTGGTACATTCATCATTCCAAATTTTTTGGAATTTATTTTTATTTCAATATACGTGTAGTAATGTCACTGCGTTTAAAGAATTTTCCTATCAGAGAGCCTGAAAGAAAAATTCACTAGCTTGTCAGTGACAATTTGTATTGAAAAAAGTTTGGAGAAGTGAAATAAAGGTATATAGAAAAAATATCAAATGTTCACTTATCTTTGCTCGTATCTTTGGACGTTTCGGGACCGATTCTGCTCCCGTTTTCAACATAAGATATGATTATTCCAATAGCTAAGTCGTATTTGTCTTGAAGCTTTTCAGTTTTCATTGACAATTGGCGACGTTGGCAATCAACCATTGAAATGAGCAGATACATAACAATAAATAAAACCCTGTATACATAAATATTCATATATTTGTTTACTTTTGATTATCATGAATTGTTTTGAAAGTGTATTTATGTAAATTAGAGTGATAAAATAATATCTTGTTCGTAGATAAATTATGATAGACTGTTGTATTGTCACAATACCCATCAATATCAAACTCATATTATTTTGAAATAAGGTTTCGCAACTCTGTTTTTACAATAATTAGAGGTCGATTGTGGTTATCCCAATTTCATGACATAATAAGTATAATGATTGATAAACTAATTTGCAAAGCAATAAATTAAAACCAGCTTTTTTTGAAACAAAATTTGTGGTTTCTAGCTGGAGAATAATAGAATATTGATATTCAACTTCTTATAACTTATATGAATTGATATAAAATCCACTGTCCACTGTTAGAGAGAAAAAAAGGTAACTATTCGAATAAATTGAGCTTTCGATTTTTCAAAATAGAAAATTTGTTATTCAATTTCTGAGCATCCTGTAGGATATTTTTGAAAAGTTTTCAAAAGTTTGAGTAGCTATAGGTCTCATTTGTGTAGATCCTAAAAATATAAAGTCTGACTAGCTTGATGGATTTCGAAATGGTATATTGTGCAACAAATGGGAAAAGTGCTTTTCCCCACATGTTGCACACTATACTTTTTCTACAACTGCACCAATATGCCAATTCATACTTTTTTCTTGAAATTTCCGGAAACAAATCCAACTTTCGCAGCTTTTTCCATTATCTCTGTCTCTGGCGGTGTATTTATCAGAATCGCCACATCTTGGTATACATCATAATATTTATTATGAATTGTTGGAACAATATTTGATGAAAAATGCGATTTCTATCAAAAGCATTAATGAGAACTACCCTAAAGAATTTAAAAAACTCCTTCTGACAGTTGTGACAACTATCCAAAGTTGAACAGCAGCCAAGTTTTGGTCGATTTTTGTTGATTCTCCATGGAAATGTATGTGGTGTTGGCAAAGTGCCGTGAGAAAAAATATTTCTCACAGTATGGGCAATACATGGTTTTGA